ATAATAATAATAATAATAACAATACAATTTACAATATTATTTTCGCGTTGAAAAATTAATATATTTTTATACAAGTTTGTGTACATATATACATATATGTATGTACAGGGTGGGCCAGTACCTTCATTCTTTTTCATTCTCTGTATATACGATCAACCGTTGAATTGGACGATATACATACATATATTACGGTAGACCTTGTGTATATAACATGTGGTAGAAATCGGAATCGAGCGATCGATTCGCAGGACGAACGAGGACGAAGCTTATTTAAAACGGTTTTAATTAGCCGTCGGGGTTAGCGGGTAGCTTCCTCTCGAATCGATGATTCCGTTCTTAGACCGCGGGAGAGGCGAGCTAGAGTTATTTCGAGCTCGATTTGCATGCACTTATAGCAGCTCCTGCCTTTCTACCTAAAGCCAAACTACTATAGAGGATAAGTGCATGTATCGGTTAAGCATACACGGCTCACCGCTGTTGCTGACCCGTGGTTCACGTTCAAGGATGATGCGATACGTTCTCAAGGTCGCGTGAACCTCTGCACGGTTCCATTCCCTTTACTCGCGGGCCTTTTATCAGCCTTTTATCGAACCGGACCGCCTCTCGGCGATGCTTACGCGTACGAGAATTCGGCTCGATTCGTTTCTCTACTCGTCAGACTTGCTCGTTCGAATGAAAAGATGATTGACGCGTTGAGAAAAGGAGATTGGTTGGAATTTTTGTGATGGAATGGGAACGCTACCGTTCAACAATAGGCCATCAGGCAGTTTGATGGATTGAATAATGTGTGGAGTATGCCAGATGATTGCCAATTTTATTTAGTATCAGGGAAGCATTGTTTGACTTGCACGACGAATCGGTTCGGATTACAGTTTATTCGTCCTGTGTAGTTGACCATTTTTCGATCAGATCCGCTGACGGTTTTTAGCCAGAGTCGACGCGATGGAGCGTTATGGGATGCAGGCGTTATTACGCGGGATTACGCAACGTGCGCGAGAGTCTGGTTCCGCGAGGGAAAGCACCTCGCCGGGACTCGGGGCCTGGGGCCGCTGGTCTTTGCGGATTAAATATCAAAAGTCATCGAACTTGATAGAGAAACAAAGCTGATCGAACCTGATTTGAGGCATTCCAAGCAAGAGTAGGCTAAGTCATATTTCTCGTGAACGTGTGCTAAAATTTCGAGAAATGCTTCAAATAAAAGTTGTTTGTCTTCTAACTTCGATATTTAACGAGTTAAGTATGATTAATCGGCATTTTGTAGGTTTTGTGAAAATCCGACCATCCCAGCGTCGAAACGGCGAACTTTTGGAAAAAAAATTCGTTTTTCCTCAATAACTCCTAAACCCTTGGAGATACGGGAAAATTGCATAAGACCTTTCTTATAGAGGACGACGAGATCTACAATTTCTGTATAAAAGTTTGTCGCTAGCGTTAATAGTTAACGAGTTATTGACGAAAAACGAAAAAACAGTTTTTTGCAAATTACTCGTTAACTATTGACGCTAGCAAGAAA